GTTTGGGGTCGGCAAGTTTTTAATGGTTTTGAAAAAGTCTCTTCTGCTCACCGAGGCTGCATTTCTTTGATCAAAAATACAGTAAAAATTGTGAAATATTATTGTAATTTAAAACAGCTGTTTTCTATGCGAATATCTGTTACACTGTAATGTATTTCTGTGATGCGCAGCTGTATTTTCAGCATCATTACTCCAGTCTTCAGTGTCACATGATCTTCAGAAATCATTCTAATATGCTGATTTGCTGCATTTCTTATCACTATTAAAAACAGTTGTGCTACTTAATGATACATTTATTCAGAAGTCTGATGAACAGGAAGTTCAGAAGAACTTGCATTTTTAAAAAAATAGAATTTTCTGTAACAATGTAAAAGTCTCTTTTGATCAACTGAAAACAAACAAACAAAAACGTAACAAAGTTACTGCACCCCCAAATTTTAAATGGTAGCGTGTTATGAAATGTATTAACATTGCTATAATATTTATACATGCATGGGTATATCATGATTTAATTTTAAACGCAGTGAGCAGAAAGCCAAGAAGTGAAGTGATGTAAAAAGGGGTCCTGTAGGAAAAACACTGGTAACAATAGCGTTAAAACAAAGAAAATTTAAGTAATACCATAAATATCACTGACATAAAGAGGCAAAAACAAGAAAAAAATATATTTACAAAAATATTTATTTACTTCACATAAAAACAAATGTAGCTGTCCCTTCATGAAGAGAATAAAACAAACAATTCTGAAGGGACCCTGGAAGACAACACTGACGTTGACCCGAGAGGAACCGCTTCAGATGGTTTTAAGTTAAAGACTAATGACAGCCGCTTCAGTAACTGACCGAGAGAGCCAGCGGTTGGATCAGAAGTTCGAGTCTTCACAGGGAATCGGTCTGAACGTCACATCTCTATTTTCCTCCAGCAGAAGATCATAGCGACACAGAGGCCTGCTGAAACATTGAGTTGAAGGAAACCATAAGAGTTTTTGTGGCTGTCAGGAGTACGCTGGTCTTTGTCTCTATTCGGTTTAATGTTTCTGAAAAAAGTCTCTTCGGCTCAGCAAGGCTGCATTTATTTGATCAAAAATACAGTAAAAACTGAAATATTTTTATAATTCCAAACAGCTCTTTTCTATGTGAATATGTGTTAAACTGTAATTTATTTCTGTGATGCGCAGCTGTATTTTCAGCATCATTACTGCAGTCTTCAGTGTCACATGATCTTCAGAAATCAGTATAATATGCTGATTTGCTGCTCAAGAAACATTTCTGATTATTATCAATGCTGAAAGCATTAATATTTTTGTGGAAACTGATACATTTTATTTTTCAGGATTCACAGATGAATAGAAAGTTCAAAAGAACAGCATTTATTTGAAATAGAATCTTTTGTAACATTATCAATGTCTTCACTGTCACTTTTGATCAGTTTAATGTGTCCGTGATGAATAAAAGTATCAACTTTTGAGTATGTTTGGTGTCACACACCTTGATGTCTCATGCTTGAATTAAAAAAGAAGCACAAATAACTGATTCACAGAGCTGTCATTTGGCCTGAAGTCTTATAATATAGTGAACAGAGCAGCTCCGGTCTCTATTCCTGTACATTACAGCAGCAGCTCAGACTTTCAGCAAGACTTCCAGACGAACGCTTGCTTCAGATGAAAGCACACAGACCTGAGGGGGTTCTGTAGAGGAGTGAGGCGGATGCGCAGGAGCCGCAGTTTCTTGCTCGGCCGGAGTCCTTTCCCCGTACAGAACTTGAGCGAGATCTCCGTCACAGGCTGGACGTCTCGGTCAAACTGAGCCAGAACGCTGCTCTCCACAAACCTCTCAAACATCAGGGATTTACTGGAAGAGAGAGGAGAAACATCAGCATCCAGAACATCGATCTGGGAATACTCCTTACACGAGACGGAGACTTTCACAGACTTACTGATTGAGTTCAACTTGCGCCTCTTCCTTTCTGTTGCTTAATTTAATAGTTAAATATCCCCAGTGTGTCTTCTGGTTCCATGTGACAATATCAAGCTTGTAGCCGAACTCTGGTGGAGTCAAAAAACTGTTACGTTATATATACACTAGCGCTCAAACGTCTGGGATCAGTGAGACTTGTGATGTTTCTGAAAGAAGTGTCTTCTGCTCATCAAGGCTGCATTTATTTGATAAAAAATACAGAAAAAAACAGT